AAAACTGAAGAAAGAAAACCAGCATTTAAATGAAGATACAGACCAAGCTCACCTTATTAAACAACCTAAGTACAGCGTAAGTGAGTCATCGATTTCCTCAAGTGATGTGTTTGAAGATCCTGTTAATAATGAAGAAAACTCAGATAACGATGTTTATACAACATCCAACAAAACCCTCACTCACTCGCTTCCTGCGGATGATAATAACACGAATGAAATTTCGTTTAGATCTCATCAATCAACACCAAGTATTGCAAATGATTCATTATCATAGTCTATGTCATTTGAATTACTAAAAGATGTGCCTTATGATGTCAGAAATAAACATGGGAAACTAATGCTCGGCGCATTTCGTGTCTATGATGATGACCACATCTTAAAAATTGGAAATCATAGTTTGAAAAAAACTCCAGGCTTAAAAGATTTATTGTTTAAAAAGCTACCAAATTTAGATATTGTAACAGAGGAAGACTTACAAAATTATAAATTGCTACTTTTGGATACTAATGCACACAAACGTAGTTATGATCCATCCAAACCGATTAACAGTAACAAAGGATTTAAATATATGCAAGTGATCAAACCATTGTTTAAGCACTCGAGAAATCATAAAAGTAGTATATATATATATGAAAATGTAATGTACACTATACAACACTAGGTACAAACATAAGCTTGTAATACCAGTTTTTAGACTTTATAATATTAGTAATTAATTTCTGGGTAGGCAATATATACGCTTTTACAACAAACGCCTGTGTGTTATTCCAGACTATATTCTATCTAGAGATATTACGAATGGTATAAAATTCAGTTTAAGATTGAAAATTATTATTTTTTTCCTTCAAAATACATTAATTTTGAACAAAGATATATTTATAATGCAACTAAATTTAATAAGTACATCGACCACTATATGCTGGCCCATTCCATAATATTGTGAAATATACTCGTTTACCTGTAAAACACTGTCGTCTCATGTTACATCTTCTGACCGGCGCCCGATGACGTTCCGCTGCTATATAAGCAAACGTTAATTCAGCAGCGTATTGTTACGAGTTTGAGGTTCGTGACAATAAAAACTGCTTGGTAGCACGGGCCTTCATCCATTCCAGAATCGGCTTGATGTCCGGATCTTCCTGCTGTGGATTTTGTAAGCTGTCTTTCCACTTGTTACTGAGGTGACTGTCCTGAGCATCCTCACGGATACCACTTTCTTACTCTCTTGCCTAGTACAGTGCTTGCAATCTTCAGGACAAGGTCTCCTTGACAATGCATCTGCGTTGTCATGCGATTTCCCGCTGCGGTGTTTAATCACAAAGCCGTATTGCTGCTGCTGGGTGGTGCTGTTAGCCGCACAATCTTCTTGAGATCGATCACTTTCCTTTTTTACAGATCGCTTATGGCAGCTGGATCAAAGATGGCCCCTTTCCCCACAGCAGTAGCACCTTGGGCTGTAATTTTTATTGTGGTCGCGAACCGTAACTGCTGCAACCTCTCTAACTTGAGGGGAACGATGATCCTTCCGCCGCCAGGCGGTGCCGTTAGCTGCACTACGCTCTCGAGATCGATCAATTTCTCTTTCTACAGTTCGCTTAGGGCAGCTCGATCGAAGATGGCCCCCTTTCCCCACAGCCATAGCACCTATGGCTGTATTCTTTATTACGATGGCGAACTATAGCTGCTGCAACCTCCCTGGCGCGATGGGAACGATGATCCTGCAGCACGACTTCCACCAGTGCATGGACCACGGCGTCCTTAAGCGTCTCGTGGTTCCCGAAACTCACAGCAGCTCTGACTTCAAGGTCGCGGATGCCGTCGATGAATGTCTGCACCAGGTTCCCTTCAATAAGCGCAGGTACAGACCGGTATGCTTTTAGCACTAGCTTCTCCACCTCTAGAGCCCACTGCTGCAGGTTTTCGTTGATGCGCTGCACGCGATTTTTAAGCTGCGCACGAATGAAGTGTTCTAGGTGAGCGTCGCCATATCTCGCCTCCAATGCCTCAAGGAGTTGCTCGTAAGTCACTTCCTCACCGAGAGTTTCCAGATCTGTTAAGGCCTGGTCGCGCAGGCCTAGTGTGAGAGCAGTCATGGCCTGACTTTTATTCCAGCCGTTCGCTTTCATGACAGCTTCGAACTGGATTTTGTAGGCCGACCAGGAAGAAGTCCCGTCGAACGGTGGCACCTTGAACCCACGTAGCGAAGGTGTAGTAGCTACTACGGGATCTGTATTTCCATCCCTACGTTTAAGTTCTTTCAGCGCTTTCTTCACTTGGTTGATTTGGGTTTCAGCTTCCGACAGGCGGTTGTCATGTTGAGCTACCTTATCTTTCACCTCCCTTATCTCTTTTCCGAAGGTAGCGTGAAGGTCTTTCATGAGGAGCATCTGCTCTTCCTTATCGCGTTCCTCCTGCCGGCAGGCCTGTTCCTCCTGTCCGCCCAGCAGCTGTTCTTCCAATTGGCGGGCCTGTTCCTCCTGTCCGCCCCGCAGCTGCTCTTCTAATTGGCGGGCTTGTTCCTTCTGTCCACTCCGCAGCTGCTCTTCCAATCGGCGGGCCTGTTCCTCCTGTCCGCGCTGCAGCTGCTGCAGCATCAACATCAGAGCACCTAAGTCAGGTGCCACAGACGTAGGAGCTGCTGACGTGGCGGCTGGCCCTCAGACGTCTGTGGCGTTACACCACCAAATCTTCTTTGGTCCGTCTCCTGCTGGCGTTGACTTCGGGTACGGACACCTTCCGTTTCCTCCTTAGGTAAAATCGGCATGATTTTATCCCACTTCTGACACCAATTGTTACGGGCTTGAGTTTCGTGACAATAAAAACTACCGATTGAATTACCAAAATTTACACTTTTATTTTCTTTAAACCAATTAAAACTTAAAACACTAATAATTAATCACACTGATTCACTTTATTTCGCTCCGAAGCTTCGCTTGTCTCGCCAAATTCAATACTGCCCCGACCGCGTCTTGCAGCGCCTTAAAATACACATTTTTCTCCGAAACGTCCAGAATATTCAAGTAAATACGCGCGCCAACCGACCAGACGCAGAAAGTTCGAGTGTGGGGCTTCCAGAAAGCTTAATTCTTCTGTTCAATACTAGATGGCGCTGTTGGTCGAATGATTAGTCATGTCATTTTCTGTAAAGCTCTCTTCGCTTTGTTACCCGACACTGAATGGCGCTAGTGCCAGACGTCAACTTAGGCGCGCAACAGTTTGCAACATTTTTGCAAAGTGATTTTCACATACGAGCATTTAAAGTTCTAATGTTAATAAGCAAAAATAGTGCTTACGAATAACATTAATACAGATAAATGCTAAAGTTGTCAAATAAAATATTTCTTTATTTTAAAATATGTGAAATTACTAAGTGGGGATAGCGTAACTTAGGGTAAAAAATATGAACTCGGGACGTGTTTAACCATTAGTTGCGTCTTGTTTTCCACAGTCTACTAGATTTGGAAGTGTTCGACATCATCATCAAGACAGCAAGTATGTACGTTACACTTAGACTCCTCATTCATTAAATACAATAGAATAATAATTAATTTGTTATATTATGTTAGAGTATAGTTATATTATGTTTCGCTTTATGAGTTTTGATTTGAGTGTTCCTATATAGTGATTTATTTGTATTACGTTTTTAGGTATTACAACCCCTTCGAGCCAGACGCTAAAGTACAGTCGACTTCGCAAAAGAAGAAAGCGGTTAAGAAACCAGCTAAAGTATTAAAGACTAAAACAACAGTTCCTAAGTCCAAGAAACGAGTTGAATTATTCGGAAGCGAGTCGGAATCTGATGCTGATACATCATTTACCCCAGCTTCCCTAGCTTCACCAGCAGGAAACGTAAATTAAACCTTTTTCCAGATTCTGAGGTAAGCAAATCTTATTTCATTTTAATAGTCTGAGTTACCATTCCCATGATGAAAAGTTAGTTTCTATGTGATTGGATGTTGTGAATAAATTATCAGACATACGATGTTAATTAATCATAGTCAGTAAATTTTTATGAAAACGTATTTAATTATTGAATTGTACTACTAAGTCATATTATGAGCATCGTATAAAAACATATTTATGCGGGGTAGGAGGGAATATAAGTATTATTCATTGCTTATCAGTATGCTTTTGTTTAAATAGTATTTTTATTGTTTCCAGGAAGAATATTCTGAACCTATCCGAGCGGGGATTTTAAAAAGCTACTTATCATACCGAATAGATTCGGGATATATACACCGGAGCGAGCCTTCGAAGCGAGGAGAATATTACATTGAAGTGCGCATCTCTAACTTCCGCGAGCTGGAAGCTATTCCATCAGCTGACCGATGGCAGCACTCTCTGATCAGCTTTAAATCAACTGTTGATGAGAAAACCCTAACGTGGAAGGCTGTTACCCAGTTGGTATCATGCATAAAAGAAGATTATCACAACGCTCGTCCAGTTTTGTATCCAACTAAGGGTTGGTTTAAGACTGTTTGAATATTGTAAAGGAATGTCATTTGTGTAAAAAAAAATTTAGTAATACAGATATCGTAGTTGCAGATCATGATCACTTTACTGGAAAATACAGAGGATCTGCTCATAACGAATGTAATTTAAAAGCTAAGACATGATCATTCATACCTATAATATTTCACAAACTTTCTGGTTACGATTGCCATTTATTTATAAAGAAACTTTCAGCCATTTGTGGTCGTATAAATCTAATACCCAGAAATAAAGAAAACTTTATTTCATTTACTAAGTTTATTCCAATATAAGATAATAATAATAATAATAATAAAAGGCGTAGGGAAGTGACGACCCCATCGCCCGCCGACGTAACGGTTATGTGACAAAACCGCTACGTCAGCGCAGTCAGTCAGCACCTTGCCAAGAGGTGTTAGTGCCGTGCCTCGGCAAAAATTGAAGGTGCAAAGGCCCGCTTGTGCACATGGCCTCACCATGAAACGGCGTCGGGTTTGGGCGTCTCCCGCTAAATGACGCCCTAAAAATGGATGATGGAATTAAATAGAACGCGCAAAGTGCCGCTGCCTGGAGGTCGCCAGGGCGCGTCTGGAGCTGGCGCTGGACGCGGCAGCATGCGAACCGCCAGCCGAGCGCGAGGTGCTGCACAACCACCCAGCAGCCCCTCGCATCCATCATCCCCACCAGCTGGCTTGGTGTCGGCAGGGTCTTCGCGGGCCCAGCAATCGGCACCCGCCTCTGGTGGAGTACGCCGCATGCGTTGGACAACCCAGATGAACAGCAACGCATTGCGGGCGTATTTTAGGGCGAAAGGGGGAGAAACTGGAGGTTTGGCGTATCGGGCTAGGATGCATCGTCTTTTTGCTGAGCTGGAGCCATCTTTAACCGTCACCGAGCAAAACCTGGCAGACCGAGTTCGGTATATCTTGCGCTCAAATATATTTGATGTCGCCGAACTCGAACGGCTACGACGTGAGGCTGTTCCCTCGTCGGGTGAGAATGCTGCGGCTGAGGATGCGGCGCCACAAATGGTAGAGCAACCCGCAAACGTGGATGCCGCCGTGAATACCCCAGTTGTGGTTGATTCAAGCGATGATGGAACAGTCGCCCAGGAACTGGAACTAGAGCATATGAGGAGTACATTGGAAGAGGCGATTGTGGAAACGCGCAGTACGCCTCTCGAAAATCGACCGCGACTTCCCCGCATAGCCCTAAGCAAGCGGAATCGGGCTGTCGTGAGGGCTCTGAACCCAATGCTGGTGACCTATTTGGAAGCCAGCCGGGACCTTTGCGAGACGGACTCAATTCTTTTTGGCGCCGCGCTGGCAGTCTGCCGTATTATAGGCGCCAAGGTTTCCACGGCTGGACGCGCTACTGGCCATAGTAGCGCTATCCCAGCATGGAGAAGAAGAATTGAGGAACGTATCGCAAAGGCTAGAGCTCTCATCGGCAGACTGATATGCTTCAGATCAGGCAACAACAGGCCAAGAATTGTGCGCACCGTCAGGATGGCGTTTGCTGGGACAAATGTCAGTTTGTCCCAGCCGGATATAACGCAAAAACTGACGGAGCGCATAGATGATCTGAAGCAGAGAATCGCTGCTTGGGGAAAGCGGATTCGGCGATATACCGAGAGGTCGACACGGTTCAACCAGAATCGTCTCTTCCAGAGTGATCAGAAGAGGCTCTATGAATCATTGGAGCGACCAATGGTAAGTGGAACGGGTCCAGCACCGAATCAGGCCGACACTGTAGCATTCTGGCGCGGCCTGTGGTCAGAGCCCGTAAACCACAGCGAGGGCCCTTGGACGGAAGTGATGGCGAGTCAGTGTGCGGGTATTACGCCCATGGACCCCGTCATCATAACGCCGGATGACGTAGCTGAGGCGGTCCGTAGGGCCCCGAACTGGAAAAGTCCGGGGCTTGACGGGCTGCATCACTACTGGCTGAAGGGGTTCATGGTGTGTCACTCTGTGCTCGCCCGACAGTTTCAAGAGGCTCTCAACCAGAAGTCGCTCCCAAGCCTCTTCACTACTGGGATCACTCATTTGGTTCCTATAGACCAGGGTACGACAGACCCGAGCAAATACCGCCCCATCACGTGTCTACCGACCATATACAAGACACTAACATCCATTTTGAGCGCGAGAATCACTTGTCACCTGGACTCAAATCAGGTGATGTCGCGCGCTCAAAATGGATGTCGGGGCGGTGGTCGTGGAACCAAGGAACCACTCCTCATTGACGCGGTCATTGGCAAAGTGGTGAAACGCAACCGTCGGAACTTCTCCGCCGCCTGGATAGACTACAGAAAGGCATTCGACTCGGTGCCCCATACATGGCTAAAGAGAGTCCTCGAGCTGTACAAGATAGACTGTACAGTTAGAGACTTCCTCGAGCAGTGTATGGGGCAGTGGAGTACGATCCTTTGTCATCTGGGCGAGCGGATGATGGCTGCGGAGAACCACATAAGGATAAGAAGGGGTATCTTCCAGGGCGATTGTCTGAGTCCAATCTGGTTCTGCCTCTCTCTGAACCCTCTCAGTACCTTACTGGAGGGCTCCGGGAGGGGATTTCAGCTACGGAAAGGAGGGACAAAAGTGACCCACCTTTTCTATATGGATGACCTCAAGTTATTTGCCTCCAGTCGCTCCCATCTTATGGAATTGCTAAACATCACTTGTGAATTTAGCAATTCCATTGGAATGGAGCTTGGGACGGATAAGTGTGCGGTCCTCCATGTTGAAAGGGGAAGGGTTGCTAACTCTGAGGGCGTAGACTTATCTATGCCCGTCAACTTAAGGACCCTTTCCGAGGCTGAAACATACCGGTACCTGGGTATGTCACAAAACATCGGTATCGATGAGACTGGTATGAAACAGTCAGTTTGCGACGTGTTTTATGCACGCTTGACCAAAGTGCTTAACAGCCTTTTGTCCGGTGTGAATAAGGCACACGCATATAACGGCTGGGTCATGCCTGTCCTCATGTATACCTTTGGCATACTCAGGTGGACTCAGACTGAACTTAACGCCCTGGATAGAAAAGTCCGCACTACCATGACGTCCCATAGGATGCATCATCCGAGATCGTCGGTAATGAGGCTGTACTTGTCGCGGAAGCATGGTGGTCGTGGCTTCTTGAGCGCGCTCACCATGCATAATCGCGAAGTGTGCAGCCTCCGTGATTACTTCCTGGCGAGATCGGATGATCCATTCTATAAGTATGTCATTTCTTGTGATAAAGGACTTACCCCTCTATCCTTACCCAACGAGCAAGGGCAAGACCCGGCAGTACAGAGCATTTCCGACCGGGAGACCGTATGGAAGGAGAAGGAGCTCCACGGGAGGTACTACAGGGCTCTACATGAGCCTTTCGTAGACACAGTAGCCTCCCTCAACTGGCTACGTTTCGGTGACCTCTTCGGGGAAACCGAGGGTTTTGTCTGTGCAATACAGGATCAGGTTATTAAGACCAACAACTATCGGAGATACATCCTAAAGGATGGCACCGTCGACATCTGTCGAGCTTGTCGCCATCCCGGTGAGTCACTTAGGCATGTTATCTCCGGTTGTTCGGCGCTTTCTAACTCTGAGTACTTGCACAGGCACAACCTAGTAGCCAGAATTCTACACCAGGAGCTCGCTCTGAAATACGGTCTCGTGGATCGGAAATTGCTGTATTACAAGTACTTGCCGGAAGCCGTGCTCGAAAATGATCGCGCCAGGCTCTATTGGGACCGGGCCATTATCATAGACAGGACTATTCTTGCGAATAAGCCTGATATTGTGCTGATGGACCGGGCAAAGTCAAGGATATTTTTGGTCGACATTACCATTCCGTATGACGAGAACCTCGTGAAAGCCGAAACAGACAAGCAAACAAAATATCTGGACCTGGCTCACGAGGTGACCGACATGTGGGGTGGTCTGCCGACCGAAATTATTCCTGTAGTCGTCTCTGCAAACGGGCTAATCCCAGTCAGCCTCTCGGGTCATCTGAGGCAGCTGGGACTACGTGGCGGACCGCTCCAGGTTCAAATGCAGAAGGTGGTGCTCCTCGATACCGCCCGCATCGTCCGCCGGTTTCTTTCCCTTTCCCCCTAACCCTCGGCCGTTTGGTCTCCCCCTGCCGAGGGCCTCCATCTGGTTGGGCTTTTATTTATTTATGTACTTTTATATTTATTTTATGTTATTGATATTTATGTATATTTATCTTTTCATTTTCATTTATAATTATATATTTATAGAACCCAACCAGATGAGAAAACTATATAGATACCCCATAATAATAATAAGAACTTAGTTCAGTTTAAATTTATTGACTCTGAACTTTTTGAGCTCGAGCTTAGATAATTTAGTGAAAATGATGGAAGCGAAAGATTTTAAAAATTTACGTAAGTTTTTTGAAGATAAACATTTATTTAATTTAGTTCAAAAGAAAGGTATCTACTGTTGTGACTATATAGGTTCGTGGGATCGGTATGAAGAAAATCAATTACCAGAGCAATCGAAATTTTTCAATCACCTTACATCTCAATCTGTATCAGTGAAGATTACAGTCATGCATTGAAGGTATGGAATGATTTTAAAATCCGTAACTTCGGTAAATACACCGATTTATATTTAAAATGTGACGTATTACTGTTGTGTGATGTTTTTGAAAAATTTCGAGCTATGAGTTTAAAACATTATAGTCTTGACCCATATACGTTACTATGTCTCATCCACATCATTAAGTTGGGATGCAATGTTGTTTTATACGAACATACTATTAGATTTACTTTCAGATATTGAAATGTACCAACTTTTAGAGAAAGGAATTCGCAGTGGTCTTGCTCAATGTTCTCTAACATTCGCGAATTCCTTTCTCTAAAAATTATATATGTAATAGTATATAATAATAGTAATAGATATGCAAAAGCAAACAATAATACATGTCCTATTATGGATAGTTTGTACGATAAATGTTATTCATTTTCAGCATTTAAAAGAATGTTTGCGTCATGGACTCATTTTGCTCAAAGTTTATAGGATATTATCATATAGTCAAAATGCATTTTTAGCACCATATATTTTATTAAATAAAACATTTAGACAAAACGCTGCTTCAGACTTTGAAAGAGATTTTTTTAAAAAACAAAACAATTCTATTTTTGGAAAGACAATAGAGAATAAACGAAAACAAGTCAATGTGAAATTGGTTAATGTATGGAAAGATACATCCAATAAGACTAATAAACTATGTGGAGCTGAAAATATTTAGTGCTCCTAATTTTAAAATTTGACAATAATTTCAGATTTGTTAGTAGCAATCCAGTTAGAACTAACAAAAGTTATCCTTTATCGGCCAATTTACATAGGGTTTTCAATTCTGGATTTAGCTAAGAGTCATTTATATCATTTTCATTACTCTATTATGAAACGCATGTATAAAAATTTGCTGCAACTCTGTTGTACTGATACTAATAGTCTGCTGTATCTAATAAATACAAATGATTTTATGAAGACATGAAAAAAATAAAAATATTTTGATACAAGTAATTTCAAAAACGATCAGTATGATATGCCCAAAGTAAATTGTAAAATTCCAGGGATTTTCAAAGACGAAATAGGTGGTGATATAATAACTGAGTTTGTTGGATTAAGAGCGAAATTATATTATATTGATTCAAAAACAACCTCAATAAGGAAAGCTATGGGTGTTAAAAAATCTGTTACTAAAAATTTTAATATTGAAAAATGTAAACGAGCGTTATGGTCTAATGAAAACTTTAGAAAGAGTATGTGTATGATTAGATCAAAGAATCATCAAATATTTACTCAAAAAGTTGATAAACTTGTATATAATAGAGATGGTAACAGTAGAAAAATTATGGCAGGTGGTTACAATACGTTACCGTGGGGATACTACAAAACTATCCATACTAATATTATAAATACGAAAGTGTGTTTGTTTGTCCTTCTTTCACATCGCAACAGAGCGTCGGCATGGCATGATTTTTGGTATGGGGATAGTTCGGTGGCTGTAGAGTGACATAGGTTAATTTTTTCAGCGGAAAAACATATCATTCCCGTAGGAAAATCGAATATATTGCAAAATTAAATTCTGCTAGGTGGCGCCACCGTGATTCTACAAGACGGACGACGGTACAATGGACGAACACAGAACGTCAGAATATCTGGATTAATATGTCTTTTTACCAAAATTAAGATAAAAAATCTGTATTTTTCCACGCAGGACTGGGAAGAGAGCGATAAAAACATAAAATTCACCAGCTGATTTTCCTCAAACGTCTTGGTGCATTGTAATTCACAGAATAGGCGATAACCTCGCAAACGATAATAAGTAATCCGTTGATGCTCTGCCTACCCCGCAAGGGTTACAGGCGTGATTATAAGTATGGATCAGAAATACTATCACCACCTGTCACGCTTTCACCCTTAACTATTACTTAACTGTGGTAGAAACAGTTCCTAGTAAGCCTTATTAATAATCCTTACTAATATTTATTGAACGGAAATGAATACAGTTCTTATATGTGGTTATGAATGGTTATGAAAGGTTATGAATTAATAAGAATTGTAATACACAATAAGAAAAATTGTGCAAAATTATAAGAAAAATATTTTTTGAGAGTTCTTATTAACTAAAGTATACATAGTTTAAATTGATTCCGCTAGATGTCGTTACTTTTTAAAACGCGGTAACGAAATGTTTCCTGACATATAATTAACTCCCGCCGTTGAGCCGCGTGTCAACTTATAGTGCATACGGTACCTATACACTTAAATTGTTTCTATTTCGTAGCTTATTCGACTACCTGCTTTCGATTTCGGTTGTTTGTTATTTTATTAGTGATTTGGTTCAGGTTGAATGGATTTATATTAGCTTTCATTTTCGGATTTGTGTATTTTCTTGGATCGGTGTTGTTGATTTGGGTGGTATCCTTTATACATATTTAGACTCTGGCTTTGATTTTGGATTTTGTTTATTTATAACCGTGAATTGGTTTTCGTTAATTTAGGTTGTTTAACAATATTTCAAAGGAATATTAATAGTATAGATAGAGTATACGGTACTTATACACTTACTTCTTTTTTCGTTGGTTATATTTATATTGACTACTGCTTTCGATTTCAATTTTCTACGATTTGTTTTGTTATTTCGTTTATGTTGATTCGATTTTTTTTGGCTACCGTTTTCGGATTCGTGTTGTGTCTTGAATTGGTTTTCTTTTTTGATTTTTAAAATATTTAAGAGGAATATTTATTCCTTTTAGATATTTTGGATTTGCTTTTAAAAAAATATTTAAAAGGAAATTTAATTACTTTTAGGTATTTTAACGTTTATTTATAAATAGGTCTTTTCTTACTTCATAATGCCTCGCAAACGTAAGTCCAGCCTTTCAAGAGTATCTTCTCAAAGACAAGCGAAAAGATTAGCTAAATCGCTAGAATCTTTAGAAGATGCTGAACTGAGAACTTGCTCCTATTGAGTAGCATAATGATGTGACATGCAATTTGGAATCCGTTCCAAGTAATTTAAATTACAAAATGAGACAATAGATGTAATCTCTAGCAGTTATATTAATTTAAATAATTTAGAATGTAGCTTACAAATCCTTAATAGTTGCAATTGTATAACTCCAAAAAATGATAATAAAAATTGTTTACACCTGGTGCATCAGAATATACAAGGCATGATAAGTAAAGAGCTAGAAATTGAATTTTTCTTAAATAGCAACAATATTCATATTTTATGTATTACTGAACATTGGTTAAAAACTCATAATTTAATGTTTAACTTCAGTAATCACCTGGTGGTCAGTTCTTTCAATAGAGAAACGGTTTTAAGAGGTGGCTTCTTAATATTAGTTAGTAAATTATTATCATGTAAAGAACGTAAAGATATTGTGAGCCTCTCTGTTGAGCGAACTGTAGAAATAGCATGTGTTGAGTTTGAGCACCTCATTGTTGTGAGCATTTACAGACCTCCATGTTCTTCATATGATATTTTGAAAAAATTTTGAAGAAAGTTATTGCTAAGCTTAATAAACAGAATAAATCTGTTGTAATATGTGGAGATTTTAATATCAATCTCCTAGAAGCTTCCTCCACCAATATTAAATTAAGATCCTTGTTTAAATCTAATGGTCTTTTTAGTTTATTTTTGGAGCCAAGGCGTATTGCTGAATCTAGTGCAACATATATAGATAACATTTTTACAAATGTTAAGCCGTTCAATAAATGTATTATTCAATAATTGAGCTCTGATCACTGTGGACAATTAGTTTCGTTACCTTATGTTCACAAAAAGCAAGTAAATAAAAAGTAGTGTTTGTTCCAGTAAATGCACGTCGCTTGGAGAAGTTTAGAAGTAACATAGTAAAAAAAACTTCCATCAGATTCATACCAATATAATCCAGATTTTTATATGGAACATTATTTAAGCTTATTTGCAATGAATTTAATAATACTTTTAGTTCTAAAACATTCTCCTTGAACAATCGCAAGGCATTTAATAATTGGGCGACAGTAGGAGTCCATAAGAGTAGACAATGGTTATATGAACTTTACAATGAAAGATCATATATCCTAGTGTCGAATTTAGGGAATAAAAAATATTCCAAAATATTTAAAAGAGTGTGCTCCATAGCCCAGTCGTTGTATTTGAGCAACAAAATAAAAACGGCTTCTAATAAAATTAAAATGACATGGAGTATAATTAATAGTGAAACTGGTAAGGTTAGCTCTCGCAATTCGATCATAAGTTAAGTTTTAACAATAAATCAATGAAATCAGATCAAGACCTTGCAATGGTTTTCGAGAAATATTTTACTGATATTCCTATCTTAACCACTAAGTCACTGAATTCTTCTCCTACCGTCGCCGAATCATTACTTAAACAAAATTTAAATGCGTGTAACAAAGAATTTTACATTTCATAAAGTGTCATCAAAATATATTCTAAAATATTTTAAGACTATTGATATTAAGAAAACCGCCGATCTGTGGGAGATTTCTGTTAAAGTTATTGCGTCTATAACAGATGCAATCGCACCTCAAATATCTATTATTTTTAATACTAGTATCAAATCTGGTGTGTTTCCTGATTTAATGAAGCATAGTAAAGTAATACATTTATTTAAATCTGGCAGTACATTGAACCTCGCTAATTTTAGACCAATTTCTATACTGCCAACACTTAGTAAAATTTTTGGAAAAAATATACTTGATCAAATGTTAAATTCTTTTAATGTAAATAATTTACTACATAAAAATCAATTCCGTTTCACAAGGGGTCGCCCAACAACTGATGCTGATGTTGAGCTTATTAAATATATCTTTAATGCATGGAAGAATTCACAGGATGCTTTGGGTATATTCTGTGATCTATCCAAGGCCTACGATTGTGTTCACCATGAAACATTCAGGAAACTTCAACACTACGGTGTAAGAAGTGATGCTCTTAAATTAATTATTCATATTTAAGTGACAGAACGCAAAAAGTTGTAATTAATAGTATGAATTCTTCCGGGTCGACTGTACAAATGGGCGTGCCTCAGGGCTCAATTCTCGGCCCCTTTCTGTTTCTTGTATATATTAATGACTTACCTTACATAGTAGGGGATAACCATGATATAGTATTATTTGCTGATGATACTTCATTAATTTTCAAATTAAAACGACAGTTATTAAATTACGACGAATTAAATAATACTATAGCTAATGTAGTCAATTGGTTTAATGTTAATAATTTGCATTTAAATGGAACTAAAACTAAATGTATGAAATTCGTAACTCCTAATGTCAAACATGTTAATACGAATGTAATTTTAAATGGGGAAGAACTGAGTCTTGTTGATACCACCA